AGGCCATAAATACCTAATGCCATAACATCATATACATAATCTTACCATTTAAATATTGAGAACACAATTATATACATCTAAATTATGTACTTTATAGTAATACAATGTAAAAAGTGCTCATTTTAATTATTATAAATATGACTGCTTTCACAGTGTCATGAGCTAAAAATTAACTGAAATGTTAACGTAAATTATAATACATTGCTGGCCATTAAAATTGCAACACCATGAAGACTTAGAAGATACTTATGCACGTAAACAGTATGGCATGAAGACAAAATGATTAAATTTGTAAGCATTTTGGAGGTTTACAGGGGTGCGAAATTAGTAGAAACAGTTGCCATACCTGGCAGTTAAAATGGCCCTTATTCCCTTAGTCATGGAGTCAAACTGGCCTTGGATGACAGAAATGGGCAACTCATTCCATGCTGTTTCAAATCTATACCACACTTCATTAACCGTATTAGCTCGAGAGGGGTGGCGGGCCAGTTTCTCAGCAACCCATGACTAAGGCCAATATAAAGTATCTCTAGTAGCTCTACCCACGACCAGATGTTTTCAATGGGTGACAGATCTGGAGACCGTGTAGGCCGGGGAAGCAGTCGAATAATCCTGTGTATCGAAGAGGCGACCCGAACAGGATCATAAGATCTATTTTTAGACCAGATGGATCGGGTCGTATTCCTCTCATTTGACCCTGTGTATCGAGGAAGGTCAGAACACGACGTGTAACATGTGGTCTTGCATTACCTTGTTGGAACAGGGCGTTTGGGCGCCTCGAAGATAGGGCACAACCACTATACACCGCAAAGATGACATCCGTCCTAGTCTTGCCGTACGGAATTGAATGTCATTTCTGCGGAAATCAGTTACATTGGCATACAAGGCCTGTTGTTCAGTACATATTATTTTCTTTTGTTACAAGATATTTTGAATAACACAGTATTACATATGAACACTCTTATAACATAAATCAATATTATATATAAGTGAAATTATATTGTATGTATACACATATATGCATTGGGCAGTGCATTAAATGAATACTACAATTGGTGTATAAATAAGTCAAATGTGATACATTTAAGTGACGACAATTAATGTGGAAGAAATATTTTTACACTACAGAATCATATAGACAATTTTGAAACATTGTTATTGGTATTTCATGTGTTAGGTTGGCATATTTACTATATTGGAATGAACACTTATATTACGAAAGTTAGATAACTGTATGAACAATGTATTTGTATACAAATATTTGTATGTGTCAAGAAGTTGATTCGATGGAACAAAGATTTTTATAACAAAAGAGTTAAATAACTACATATATGTAGTAGTAAAAAAAAAAAAAAAAAAAAAAAGAGAGAGGTTCTGGGAAGGCTCCGTACAAAATAATGCTTTCTGAAATGGTTTTGTACCATGATTTCAGGAGATTTGCCGGTATACCCCATTTCATACCTGCAGTACGTTTCGTTAGTGAGATTGCCAATGCACTGCCTGAGAATTTTAAGATGAGGAGTCCATGAAAGTTTTTTATCAAAGGAGAGAACTAGATATGTCATTTCTGAGACTGTTTTTAATGAATGTCCTTGTAGTTGACTTCGATGAACGGTGTGTCGTTGGGTTGAATTGCAGGTGCGCCTAAAGGAGCAAAATCTATCTGAGCGGGAGTGCACTGAACTTGCTGAGGTAGCAACTCTTGGAGCTTTCTGAGAGTTCCGTTTTGGGACTGCAATTGTCCTTCAATTTGACCCTGTAAGCGGGAGATATGCATAGGATGCTTCTCACGCTAAAGACAAATTGCTTTAATAATTCTCTATTCGATTTACTAAACCTGTTCTTTGGTGTGCTGGAGGAAACTAAGTCTAGTCTAGACTAGATATCAAGCCTACGAAGGAAAATGCAACTATGTCTAGACATACTACTTTGAATAAAAAAAAAAATTGAATATCCGTTTATTTAGTAAAACAAAATAAAAAGAATACTCCATCTAAAATTATTTAGTAAATTGTAGACTTGAAATAAAAAACTACTTCAAATTTTCAGATTACTATTGTTCATATTTAAAGTCTCAACTTGCAGTCTTAATCCACATAACAACCATTGTAAAAATCACCCGTTATCATATTCCAAAGATCAGCAGCATACATTTTTTTCAAAATCGTGCATAATATTAAATATTGGCTTTTGATAGTCAAGTTGATACAAATAAGATGAACTGTTTTTATGATTTTAGACTAAGTTTATTCTTACATTCACTTATTACAATATTTCATTTTTTATATGCTCGGCTATCCAAAATTTCAAGAGCTTTCCGGATATTTTTTTTGTCGAGTTTTTACTATACATACATTTCAGCATTTACATCGTCAAAATTACACAGACACATACTTGAAGTGAATTTACTTTTACAGCTAAACACAGGAACTGGAAAACAAAAACACTTATTCGGAGATTGTATTTCTTTTTCGTTCATGAAAATCAAAGTTCATTACACAAACATGCATTCACACTGCACAAGCATGTATGGAAATTCTTAATACACTTATACTGATAATTTAGTAAATAAATCAGAAAATATTTTAATGTATAAAAAATAGTAAGTAACTAAGCTTTTAGTTAAACTTTTATAAAACAGAGCATAATAACACAGTTACAAAGATATTTAATGTTATAAAGTTAGGTAATTTAGTAAATTTCAGTTGTTCATCAAAGCAATGAATTATGAAGTTCCTTGTGTATCTTTATAAATGAACTTTATTGCTGTTTTAAGCAACTTGAACAACTGTTCAAGTTATTTTAATAATTTTGAAATATATACACTAAAAGAAACAATAAAATGTATTAATCTATTTGTCAAACTTGATTTTGGCACGAAAGTCTGCAGAATGCTTCGTAGTTTTTAAGCACATAGAGGCACTGCAATTCTTATTCCTTGATCTGAAGTTTTCTGCAATTTTTTTTTTTTTTATTTAAATTGCTGTATTGGCACACATATAATTTTTGTATAGTGGCTTCAGATGTGGATAAGTTTTTCAAACACTTTCGTTTATTTTACTGGCGTCGCTGAATTTTGCGATGAAATGCAGCACATTTATTGCCGAGTATCACCTTCCAGACTTTTCATACTGTTAATGTATACATCAGCAGTGAATTATTCTCCTCTTTCCTCAAATACACTACGGCGTTAAACAATAACCATTCACTAAAGATTTTGCGTAAATTTCCACTCATAATTTAAATTGCGAAAATCTCACAATTAGCACCTAAATACACTATTCAGGAGCACAATTCTTTCGAAAGCACCGTAGTAGTCAAAAGTGGAGTGGCGTAGGGTCTTGCCAAACTAGTCGATATTTCCGTGACGTCAAAAATTCGAAAAGTAGGGTAGGGTTTGGAAATACGCCTTCTAGTATTCATATTTTAAAAATTATTGCCCAAGAATGAATACTATTAAAGGTGAAAAAAAGAGAAATTTAACAAGAAAAGAAGCTTGAAGATAGAGTATTTCGGAATCAAACTTTTATTTAAAATTTTATTATAATATCTTGTCAATCATTCGATGAATAATATACGATGTAATCACAATTTCTGCAATTGTTTTCTCTAACCTGAAGGGAACTAATAGAGCTGTGCTACTTTAGCCAATAGCATGTCCAACAGAGAAATTATTTTGCAAGAGGGGAAGGGGACGTATGTCCTTCTTATGCTATTCAGTGTACTTGACGTAGCTCGGTATATTTAAAAGTAAAAAAGAGTTTGTGATTAGATAGAGCTATTTAAAATAAACTGACAAGGATTTCATAGTTCTTTAATTAATGCTGCTGTTTATAAACAAAAAGAAACCATTTCTGTTACTATTATTCCTCACTGAAAGAAGTTCTTTTCTCTACGCTATGATAATTTTAAACTTTTCTAGTCTGCTCTCAAAATATTTTATTCGACTAGAAAATCAAATATTTCTTATGAATTCTCGTTTTTATCTGTTTGTAATTGTATTATTGACAACTGATCTTAAAAAAAAGTGAACGAAATTCGAAAAGTGTTGTTATAAACTTTAGAATAACAAAAATAGCTTTTACTACAAGTAAATAATTCTGTTGTAGGTTGGAAAGTAGAACCGTAGATTTTTGCGATAACCTTAATCTGTAGACAATTTTAAAGAAAACGTAAACGTAAAGGAAGATGGACAGCTCACAGTGAAAGAAAAATTTCAAATTAGTTATTGAAAATATTTTAAAAATGATATCACGTCAACATGGTTTTGCGTAAAAATCTATCGCTTAATTTTTCACATAGAACTAAACGATGACCAAAATACAGGGCCACAAGTAATCCTAATTCATTTGATTAATTCATAACGTGCAAAAATTAGATTATCAGATGCAGTTTTTTCCCTCACTATGGCCTGTACTATATGCATCCATGATGTTATTCCGTAAGATATATGAATAGAGTGTATGTACCGATCGACTGCAATTTTTGCACCGATCTTTTGTACCGATCGACGGCGCCGTCCACACAAATTTAAATGCTCCAAAATTTCACATATGCCTTTGAGTCCACCGGGGTTTAGATCAAATACACGCCTTATTATTCCCAGATTCATTCTGTATACGCTCCTCAGTGCTACGATTTCGTTTGTGCATTTACATTTTTGACCTGAGCTTTTGTTATTGCGTCTTAATGCTGCCGCTCCAGAAGGAGAATACTGTACCCGGACGCTAAAAGCAAGAAAAGATTCATGACTTACCTTTGGACCTAGAGAGCATTTTTGGTTCGAAGGCTTAAGTACCAAGTAAACAACTCACAGTTTCCAGGATTAATTCTAGCTTATAGAATTGGCATTTCGAGCAATGATGCTATTTGCCTCACAAGGTGGCGAAATCGGCAATGATTCACTCATTCAAAATATTTAGTTTGTAGCTATATAGTGTTTCGTAACTATTTTTCTGTAAGATAAAATTCAGTAGAATCGAAGAAAGAAATAAGAAATGTACACAACAATGTATAGTTAATTTTATTATTAACAAGTGTATCACATTATTAAAAAGCATTTATAAGCAACTATTACTCCGCAGCAAAAGAATGAAAAGAAACAAAAATTGCACATAATTCTTCATGACTGCGGACTGTAAGCATAGTGGAACGCAACAGCAGCATTTATATTAATTAATGTACTGTTTAGAAAGTTGAGGATCACATAAGTCTTTGCTTAGCACATTCTGGGCAAAGAATATCGGGGCCATCTGTAATGAAACCCTTTCCAACAAGGGATAAATTACATTCTGCACACATGAAGCAGTCGTTATGCCAGTTGCGATCTTCGAAAGAAATAAATCTCGTTCCCCCAATACCTGGAAGAAATAAATGAATTCATAAATTAAGTAAATAAATAAATATTTTTTTTCCCTTTTAAATGTTCAAACTGTCAGTTCTCGCAACAGGAAGTGTGAATATTTAGCAGAACGATGAAAACATTAAAAATGTTTTCCGGAATTCACATCAAATTATTTAACAATCTATGAGTTCAAAATTCAAAAAAAATGTAAAGCAAAATATTTTAGATTTATGTAAAACTAGTGGAATAATGTCGCATCTAGTACATTCGTTTCCACTAATTCGAGATTGAAGGTTACATGATACAGTTTCACAAGTTAACGATATAAATTGTATTTCATTTCATGATTTGTTTATGAGCTTTATTTTTAAAAAGTAGATTATTGTTAATTTCCATGTATTTCAGGAGATTTAATTAGCATTTTGTTAAAACTGCTTATGAGGGAAAAAATAATAAAAGAACAACAAAATTGACCAACAATTAGGGAATATAAGCAACTTCTGTTACGAAGTTATGGGGAAATCGATAAGTATACTGCAATGTTACTAGGTTCAAAGTCACAGCCCATTTTTCGAATATGTTTTTCAAATTCATTTTTTGTTTGAAAAATAGCAAGTATGAATTTTTACAAGGCTAAACGTTTTAGGTTTACTAAAAATTGAATGCAGTAAGAAATACGTAAATATTAAATAATTTTTTAAAATATCACATAATTCTTAGAATTTCATAAATTTGATAGGTATTTTTTCAGTAATTCTTAAATTATTTTTAATGATATGTATATAAAATTAAATTACTTTATTATAATAATATATCGATATCAGGGGGAAATACGCTCCAAGTTATACTGCGGATAATAACGAATGCTTTATATACTATTTCCCAATGGTGAACTCTAGCCGTTTATAGGCGTTGACCCTACTAAGGTCAGAAGCGGTAGTCTTTTTATTATGAGACACCTAATAGGTGGGTTACCATTGCCTGCTGTGAAGAAACAGACAAATTACATCCCTACCTTCTCCCGGATTCGAACCCGGGTTCTTCGGTATGGCAATCAGAATCACTAACCACTTTACACTCTGGGCGACACGAATGCTATATAAAACAAAACATTCGTACAACATAGATAATTATGGGTAATTGATTAATTATGGAAATAAAATAAGTGTTACCAACATTGATAATGTATTAATTAAAGCATTAAGTACGCTCTCGTGCTTCCAAAACTATGGAATTGTGACTTCTCAGTTTAGTCGGCTAAAGATATGGTAGAAATAAGAATTATTCATTTTCTTAGGACTAAAAGCACAATAATAATTTCCAAGCTCTTTTAGTATCACTAATCTTAATTGGTAAATAGAAACTTTACGGAGGAAAACTACATTGCTTAAAAGCTGCGAAGCCCAGCAGTGGCCGAGAGGTAAAAGTCGCTAAACACGTTTAGTCTGACCCGGGTTCGAATTCGGGCTAACGGGCTAGCTGCATAGGATGTTTCGAGGTTTCTCTCGTGCGTAATGTGGATATGAGCCACTTCCCTTAAAATGTTTCTCTACGAAGGAATCTCTCCACATAGGCAAATAGTCCTTGAGTTGCTTAGCCTTAATCAGTTAACCTTAAAACTGCTTTAACACGTTATGGATGAGAATAGGCTGAATGCTAGACGTAAAAATGGAATGATGCTTAAGAAGAAAAAATAATAATACGGAAAACCACGACAAGTCGAATCCTTGCCAGCATATTTATGACCGTCAACTTGGAATGTGAATTCAGAATTGAGAGATCTTTATATCTAAAACCACATTAAGGTTCTTCAGTGATCCAGATATCCATTCTCCGTATTCAGTCTATATTTAGTTATTGGGAATATTAGCATTGCTATATATCGGAGTGCTGGGCGTGTTTGAAATGCTTTACTTTCCGCTATGTCACGGATTGTTGCCGCTTCGTTTACATTATGAAACTTATGACATTTTTTTTTATTTTTTGCCTCTATGGCTGTAATTCAAATGTATCTTTTGCTGCTTTTACTTTGCCATAACAAGCTTTCTAAAGTTCACTAACTGAAAATGGATGGTTGCTTACAATTTCTAGCACCAGACCTAATGCAGAAAGCCTATAGGAATATGCCTATAGGAATGGTATCAGGAGTCTACAGAGCAATGTTAGGAAATGAAATGTACATCATTGTTGTCCGAATTGTCCGAATGATGTTGCGGCATTTTTTTGTGAAGAATTTGCCATTGAACAAGATGCGTAGTTTAGAGTTTTGTCTTGTATCCATGTCAAATTTGCGTGGGATCTGTACAGCTGATTTAATTTACAGTTTTCTTGAACAAACTACATATATTATTTAATTCCGTACTTAATTATTTAAGTAAAAATGTTCTTTTCCGATGAAAGTATGTCTAAAATTACATCTTTGGGAGGGTGGAACATTCTGATTTTTGTCTGTTTAGAAGAAATGCGCATCTGTGCCTTTATAGGAAACATTGAGTGTTTCACCGATTTTTCTGTTTAGCAGATTTGAGAAAGGAAGGGAAATTTCTAAAAACACTGGTTCATTACCATACTCTTTCATCCTAAGGGTTGATAAGTTACTATAAGAATACTCTTTTTTTAACCTTGTTTGTTTTATAGAAAGATCCTACTCATATTTTGTAACAATGCAGTGCAAGGTTTTACATTTCATGGAAAAATATGCAAGGCCTTACTATTCCTAATGAGTGAGATTTTCTTAAAGTCTTTGTGGGTACTGGATATTTCATTGCATTTTCCCCAGTAACACTTAAGAATAATTCAATATTATACATCATAAATATAATTATCTTCTAAAAATACCTAACTGAAATTAATTATAGTTAAATCAGTATTATATGTACCTAAAGTGCTGATTGTATTGCAAAAGCTTTCATAACTTTTGTGTGTATACTGATAAGGCTAAATAAAGTGAGCTTCAGATTTTCCCACTGATAGTAAGAAGCAGATAAGAACCTATTAAGACTCATTTTTAGATAAAAAATTGCTTTCTATAGCACATTTTCCAAAACCTGCTAGGAATTCTAGGTAAATAATTTAAATTCGGTAAAGGTGCTATCACGATTTGGGTAAAACAGGAAATATTCTACAGTGGAACATGCTTATTTCGTATTTAATTATGAATATTATATTATGAAAATACAATTTCTAAGATGGGTGCTAAGAACGGTTCGAAGATGAGTATTCTGTATTAAGATAGCAATGAATGTAGGAAAATTAGATAGCATCTGAAGCTCTCATCTTGGAAAAAGGTAACGTCTGGCATCATTAATTAAATTATAGTTCTGGAAAATGTGTAGAAGGTTCCTATAACTGAAACTTATACGTACAAATTATAAGAAATTAGAACATTATTTGGAAATTAGAACATTATTTGAATTAAAAGGGCTATTCCTCGTTAAATATGTATTAGTAAGCAAATTCAGGCGATGTAGTAAGGATTTTATGATGAAGAAATGCCTGTATTCAGGATGTACGAAAGTTAAAATATTTAAAAATATGACTTAGATTTTGGTAAAATATCTGTTACTATTTCTTTGTTTGGCTCCTTCTGCAAATATACGTATATTGGTAATGATATATTGTGTAAAGTTGTAGTAGTCATCAACAAGATTTCGTTCGTAATAAAGTGCATTAGTAAACACATAAATGAAAACTGACAGTCAAGAAGGAAAATCCTAGTGTAAGAAATTATAAAATTGACTATAAGTGAGGTTGGCTAGTGAATTATAAGTTGGACCTGAACTAAGTTCCGAATAAACGTGTCAACGCTATGTGTTAGAAATACTAGTATGTTAATGAAACAAAATTTCAGCAGATGAAATAGTAACCAATGAGTAAAATCATCGAATACTGGATATCTCATCTCTGATTCGATACTGGAAATGTTTATCTTAGGAAATTCTTTGCACATGTAACATAAATAATAGTTAATTTTCCTTGAAATTTGTCCATGAAGACAGGAAAAAGGTAATAAAGTAAAAAAAGTAAAATTTGCATAGTCAAGGGATTTATAGTAAAAAATAATAGTATAGATGCTATCAATTAGCAAAAAATTGAATTTAAGGGTATTAAACTTTCAAAACAATAAAGCAATAGGAAAGATTTCTGTGTGAGTACATGAAACAGTGAATATGGTTCTAAAATTATGGATGAAGTTGAGATTTAATTCTAAAAACGGAATATACCAAGCTAGTTTATAGGCAAACGAGAATCTAAACTAAGCATTGGTAACATTGAAGATCTTAAAAACATGCGTTCAAATATAAATGATATAAAAAATTAAAAGGAAATACCTGAAAATGCAGGAAATTATAATGTTAGAATAAGTAATGGTAAGACTACTACAGAATGAAAAAGCATAGAATTCAAGGAATTATATATGAATAATAGGTAACGATTATAAAATAAAATACTTGATTGAAAACTATCAGTATGTTTAAAAAATATAAACATCTAAAATAAGTAAAATCAAAAGCGTCATTATGATAAAAATTATATAAAGAAGTTATAATTCAGAGCGTGTTGCAAACTAAAAAGGAAATTCTGTCAAAAAAGTAAAAATGTTACATCTAAAATTAAATAAAGATGATGTGTATAGTGGGCCAATGTAATAAATAATTCAAAAATTAGAGTGTGTTTAAACATTACGAAAGTTAAAAAATCATTTAAAGTTAAATAAAAGTTATATATATGCCAAGGAAAATATAGGAATTAAATTAAAATTAAGAGTATGTGGGAAGTTATGAAGGTTAAAATATATTAAAGAAGTTAAAAGTTAAATAAAACTCATGTATATGGTGTGAAAATATAACAAATTAAGTCAAATTTCATAATATGTTAAAACTTGCAAGCGTGAAAAAGTTCGAAAAAAGTTAGAAATTGCATCTAAAATTAAGTACAGGTCATGTATATAATCATAAAATATAAGAAGTAAGTTAAAATTAGTAGTATGTTTGCTAAATAGTACCAAAAGAGTTCTGAGTAAAATTAAATAAACAATAACAATTGATACTGTAATGAAGACTGCAGAAAATAAATATGCTACGCTGAATAGAAAATATATTGCGTGTGTGATTATGGTAAAGCCTCGAGGGCTGTCTGTCTAAGGTGAGGAATGCTTTCGTGGAGGACTTTCTAAGGGGAACTGCTTCGTATACACGTTACACGTGGGGAAAACCACGAAAACGCCCATGCAGCCAGACCGTTCGCGGGATTAGAACCTCGGACCGAACTACCAGTATTCAACGACTTTACCGCTGGGCCGCTGGTGGGCCGAATAGAAAATATAAGAAATAAATTCAGTCTATGTTGGTTGGAAAAAATGCTGTGTAAAATGTAGTAAACAATAAAAACTGGTAATTTAATTATGATTACGGAAAATAAATATTTTGTGTGAACAGAAAGTATAAAAAATACGTTAAAATTAGCAGTTTGTTGGTTAAAGAGTACGAAAAAGATTCTGCGCCAAATGAAATAAACAATAAAAATTAGTAATACTATTAAAAGCAAAGAAAATACATATGCTATTATGAATAGAAAATATAAGACATAGTTTGAAATTAAAGAGTACATATTAAACTGTAAAATTCAAAACATATGGTAAAAATTAAGGATTTGCATCTAAGTTTAAGGTCGGGCGAATCAATTATTAAATTTGTTCCTATGAGGTGAGCCTACTAAGGGTACATAATAATATATGTAATAATATGGCTGGAATACCAAGGAAAGTACAAAGGCTAAAAATTCTAAAATTAAATGTAATTACCACCAGGTAGGTAATAAAAGATAACGTCTTTATAAAAAATGTCTCTTTTATCTTACTCGCTCTGTCTTCACCCTTATCAGCTAGTAGTCTCTGCCCCTCCGCCTGCAAACTTATCCGCAGATCCGCCTCCTGGTCTTGAACTGTCCGTTGCATGAGAGAGACTCAGCGAATCTAAACGTTTTCTGGACAAAAGTGTATGGACCATTCTTTTTGCGGAAAGCGCTGTAAGTGGAATAACGTACCTGGACGCATTGGATCAATGGCTTTTACCTTAATTTTCTGAGGATTCATATGACTTTATTTTCCAACAGGATGGAGCTCCGCCCCATTGGTAGGATGATATCCGAGAATTTTTAAATCAATCCCTTCCTCAGCGATTGATAAGGCACATGCGAAATCAAGACGTGGTTTTACATTCTGGCCATCGAGATCTTCCGGATCTCATGTCGTGTGACTTTTTGTTGTGTGGTTAAGGACGCTGTTTATGTCACACCGCTACCAACAACTCTGGTCGACCTACGTGATCATGTCACTGCTGCGATGCACTCAATAACACAAGATATACTTTTTCCTGTGTGGAACGAGTTTGTCTACCGCTTAGATGTTTGCCGTGCAGTAAAGGGGGGACACGTTGAACATTTATAACCTCTGTACACCAACTTTGGAACTTCCTTTTTCATTAAAATTTAGATTGTTCATGTCCAGTTTATATTTCGCGAAATACAAAGTAATTAAATTGAGTCCACCTTTTTGAATCACTCTGTAGTTTTATATTTAGAAAATGAACCGCTTTTAAGTAATTACATGTAATACCATGCCTGAAACTCAATTATCGTTCTATTATATTAATAACTCATTATTTTTATCTTCACGCGTTCTTTTAAAGAATCGCATTTCCTATTTGATACAGAAATCTCATAGAAGATACTGAGCCAATAAGACTATTAATTCCTTTTAACAAAGCTTTACTTTTACTAGACATATCATGATGCAGCTCAGATATAAAGATTTAAGTTATACTGAAGCAACAACAACTTTTGAAATCGTATTTGATCACAAGGGCATGTATTTTGAAGTTTCTAGGTTTTATGTTTACTCATTAGTTATCTTATCATTTTACTTTTTCTCACACTTCAATTTTCGCCGTCGGCTCCCACCACACCGCAAATTAAGAGCAGAGTTCTTGAGTTCAAGAGAGCGCTTGTGGCAGCTGAAACTTTGAGGGTCTGAGACAAAGCTTGTAGGCGCTTTTGTATTGTAATTTAATATTTGAACTTCTATCGTAAGCTCCGTTATTCTCGCAAACTGCGGAGTTTGATTTCTATTGCTATTGAGCTTGTGTAACATTATGCAGACGAACTTTTGAAAACGTTTATTTTAAACTTTCCTTTGTGTCAGAGTTATTTTATGTACGTATTGACACAATAATATATTTGGGACATGGCTGGGCCGCTGGTTGCCCTTGTTTGTGGTTTTTGTACTGGCGTACCCCGTATAGGGTCATAGGGCAAACTTTGTTTTGCAAGGTGGACCGAGCTGCTCCCTAAGCTCACAATAGTAGATATGTTGTTGGAATCGGGCTTAACATACTTAGGTAATTTGTTAAAAATGATAATTTTTCATCATTGTTATTTTTATTTGCATAGTAAAATTTTCGAATTTGTTTGCCGAATAAAAATTTGAACACTTTTTTTTTTCCAACTTACCAGTGATAGGCTTATTGCAAGCTGTACATTTCTTAGCAAACAGCTCACCGAAACAGTCGGCGCAGTAAGGTTTCTCATCTCTTGATGTGAAACGTTGTCCGGCTAGCGATGAGCCACAGTTTGTGCAGGAAAAACACTCTCTGTGCCACGGTTCGTTTCGATAAGTTACACCTCCAGCAGTTATAATCTAGAAAGAGGTTACAATTAATTAAAATGCTGTCTTACTGAACATGCTTAACATATATCAAATTTTATTTATACACAGGTACTCAAATTCAATACTGATGTAATTTACAATTTCCAGTAATCTACATTCAACTCATGGATCTGATCCTTTTCCAGAAATTAAAAAAAAAAAAAAAAAAATCTTACAAGTTAGAATGCCGTAAAATTAAGATTTCCATAATGGCAGTGGAGTTTACTTTCTGTTAATTTTCAGTTTGTATAACGCTTAGGTCGACGTACTAATAAATATTTTTATTTGACTTTTACATTGCCTGTTATGTCTTGTTAAGAAGTTAAACGCGATGAAAATTTGACAGAGTCTTATACAATTACTGAGTAGTTATTTAGTACTTTAAATTAAATTTAATAGCGCAATGGTATAGTTTAAGGTATTGAATGTACAGAAACTGGTGTGACGAACTTTAAGAGCAAGCATCAATCCTACAACTGGCCTTTGGGCTGAAGGTGAATGTCAGTCATCGATTAGAAATACACGACCAACTAATTTATGCGCCTGAACTTACCCCCAAAAGCTGGCCAAAGACTTTACGTCACATAGAAAGTTTTTGTGCATACGCATGCATATACGCGTGTGCATGTGCTTGCATTTATGCACGGTATTCTGTGAATAATAAGAACGGTAGAAAAACGTGATTACGTGACAACGACAGACAACAAATGCCGGAAAGTTCCAACTAAAGGATAGCAAAGCAATACACTAGCACCATCTATTGACGAAAACATGAAAGAAAAGTAACTAAGAAATAATTTCTTAAAAAGCTTTTCGAATTAGAATTATTAGCTTATTATTATTACTAAAGATACTAATTATTAGAATTAGAACCTTGTGAAACACCTCGCATGACGGTCAATGAAGGATTTCCTCCATTTACTTCTATTTAAGCTTTGGAATTATGGGCCTGTGAATTTACGCATGTTACGCTTATTCTTATTGATAATTATTCAGAGCTGTAATATCTCCTATGGTTTCCCACCGTTCGCTTTTTTGAACTGTAATCTGAACTACAGGTTGTGTTGTAAATACGCTGTGTAATAAAATGTTTTTTTTTACTTAGTAAAAAACTTTTTCTCGGTCCCCGCTCGAAGTTAGATCCTGCGCAAGTATTTTAGTTATTTTCACCGACTAAACATGACTTGCAACAGCATGTTCCAAAGTAATTATTCTTTCTGTCGATGACTATTGTCATCCATCTCAGTATGTCGCCACATTAACAGAATACCCACTATATGTTATGTGTGTGATTTTAGGTTACCTGAAAATATCTAAAACTTAGTAAGAAACACTGAAAAATTATAACATTTTAAAAAAGCGTTTCTAGTTGCTGTAAATAAAAAAGATAGGAATAATTATGCCAGAAGAAAAGATTAGAGATAATATTAATACTTCAAGGAAAGCGAATATTAGATGTATACCAGCTCTTCCTGTTGAAAGGGAAAGTTGAAAAATCAAGGAATAAATGGAAAATAAAAAATTACAAATAAATATAAATAAAAGCATTATGGTTGGCTAGTCCGCATTATGAATCGTGGCAAAAATATAATTAAATTAGAAATAAATATGAGTTACAAAAGGTCTTCAGAAGAAAATAAAACACTTCATCATAATACCAGAGGAAGAGTATTACGAAAAATTAAAATAAAAAAATTCATCCAGGGATATCGGCTAGATTACAGCAAGGCTGTCTAACTGGTCGATAGAGGTATGTTCTTGAGACGATCTCAGCTCTCCCATTAATTACATGAATACCTTACTGTAAAGAGGAAGTTTTCTCTACCCTTAGGCAAATAGCTCTAGTATTTAGTCATTATTCAAATAAACGAATCCAATCCATTCTTTACTTTGATATTTTACAGCGTTATTTACCCGTGAATAGTTGAATTAAATGTTTACCTTCTACATACGAAACATTCCCCTCCTTGTGAATCCTTTTCATGCAAAATTCACTTTGCTATTATTTGTTGGAATTAAAAAAAAAAAAAAAAAAACATATATATAATATTTACCTTTAACTGCTGTGAGCGGTCTCTCAGACCGCACAACATTTCCATTAAATGCTTCCACCCCTTAGAATAATTAATGGGTATTGCCATTCTTAGTACCTTCCTAAACCAGTTGTCCAAGGTCACATACCAAGTTGCATTTGGCTAGCTCTATTTCTTCTTTTATTTTTTTTTAAATTTCCCCCCCCCCCCCCTGAGCGGTCTGCGGGACCGATCACAGCAGATACGATTCAAATTTCCGCCGATAAAGTTCACTTTTCGTTGTTGTTACATATTTCGTTTTCTTATAAATAATCTTGAAATGGCTTCAAATGCGTGCAGGAAACGTCCTATATATCTTACCCAAGACCAAATTGAATAAATAGTTTGAAATTGGTCTAATTTACAGTTCTCTGATGAAAGTTCTCATAATGAAATTATTGAGAGCGGCCACGATACAAATTCAGAAATATGTGCCAATGAAAATGAAAATCCATGTTCTCCTTCTACAAAAGATTTTTTTATTGGAAAAAATGAATTCAAATGGTCTATTGAAGAGCCCAACAAGGGTGTTCGAACTCGTAGTCACAATATTATTCTTCGTTCAATCTATTCAACTGCTCGTCAAACCCGACGTTGGTCTATGGCAATATTCTTCAGAAACTTGGATTATCTGTGCAATAAATGCATTCGTATTATTTAAGTCTTATCCCAATGGCTCCGAAAATGAAACGAAATGATTTCATTAGCAATTCAGTTGGTGCAGTCTCATGTAAAACGGAGGATAACTTTATGGTTTTTACCTAAAGAACTCAAACGAGGAGTTTTCGGAATAAATGATGATGAAGGAAACATTGCTATCGAAGACGATAAATTAGATAAAAAAAGAACGTGCTATATTTGTCCACCAAGCAAAAAAAGGAAAACAACTTACAAATGTATAGCATGCAAAGAACCAGTGTGTCTACAATGCAGTAGAAAAGTATGTTAAAAATGCAGCTCGAATTATAATTTTTAAATAAAAATTAATTTTCTATATTCTTATTAAAGCATTCTTATCGCAAATTTTAATGTAAAATAAAAAAGTTGAATTTTAAAAATTTACTTCTTCCATCCAGATACGTAAGCGAAGGAATTATTATCATAGTATACATTTTATTTTAATGAACTGATTTATGTATAAAAAATGCTTTATATCTTCATGAAAAAGTTAAATATATGAAATTAAATAACATTTATTCAAATAAGAAAAATAAAACAATATCTTATTTGTTTTTAGAAGAAGCGGTCTGAGAGACCGCTCACAGTAGTTATGCGACAATTTAAAGTCACAGTAGTTAAAGGTTTACGGGCATTTCAGGGATATCATATGCATTAATTAGCAATAAAAGATTAACCTAACCTGATTTCATATTCCTTTACGAACAAAGTAAAAGCTGTAGCAAATTTTTCCGTCACATTTCTTATTAATATTGAAAAATTACCTGCCAGTCCTGGCCATTAAAGACTATTTGAACTTTGTGTCTCAGACGAATATGATATTTTAGACTTATTTCATGCAACACACTTTTAGATGAATAAGATTGGAAAAGTTTGGGGAAATCTTGCAAATCAAGTATTATGTAAGACATTTATTTTTTTCAGAATAAAGTCCTGTTCAATATAACAATTAAATACGAGCACTGCAGAAGCGTTGTGATATTCACAGCTGCGAAGGAAAATAATTGGTAAAAAACTATAGCAATTTTTTTAATCTGCTACTAAATATTGTAATATTTGCTAATCTCCCATTATATACTTTCTTTATCATCTAAAATGAAGCTTAGCATCGTCATGAAAAATTACTTTTCCTTACCGTTTTATGCATTTTGATAACAAGATTCAACATGTATTCAGTTTCATTTTTAGCTTCTCTTAATTTTTCAGCTTGCATAACTCAGAACTGGCTTAGAAATAAATTCATAACTCAGAACTGAATGTCCTACATGCGCTTATGATTCAAAGATTCTTGTTATCAATTTCAAACATCTGTATTTGTTTTAAGTATTATATTAACTGCACAAATACCTGAACTTATAAAAATAACAATAGTTTCATTAAATACTTATAATCAAAAAGTGTTAATGAAACCACGGTTTAAGTAAATAATTTGCAGTCCATGCACACAATAGCACACATTCGCCAGTAGTAACCGCGTGACGCTTGTAGTTATAAGAGGGCGTGGCCGGCACCATCTTGGATGACATGATAAACCGGAAGTGATGTACTTTGAAATAATATTGTTTCTGCCACAAAAAATAAAAATTATCAAATATGACGTCGTTTCAGGGAAAATTCAAGATAGTGACATCACTTTCCGGAGTCGCGTGATCCAAGAAGTTAATCCCATATGGTATCGCTGCTCAGCGTGAGAACCTCCTGGTTTTCTCGTAAAATCTCCCGGGTTTTAAGATTTCAAGATTGGCAGCTATGTCAGTTTCGTGTCTGTCGCTTGAGATAAGAGAACTTATGAAAAACTTTAATGCCAATTAACCAAATACAACATTTCACTAATATGAATACAATACATAAAAATTAAGTAATTACTTACACATAAATACTCTTCGAAATGCATCTTAAAATGTTATTATTATCGCGCTTTGACAAATGTCGAAAAAATGTACATCGTTAACACAAGCAAGCATGTAGCGTATTTACTTTATTTGACATTCAACGTTATATGCAAATAATTTACAAGATAGTGGTCTCCTGGAAAAAGAAAAAATGGGTAAAACAAACAACAAATGATGCACAAAGTCTGCTAAAGTTGCTGTTTGTTAGTCGGACGTTAAAGTTCTCAAAGTTTCTTTTCGTTTTCTTTTTTTAATTTGTGTGTGTGTGTGGAGGGGGTGAAGTTCTTGTGTGAGGCAAACAGCCCCGTTGCCTCTTCTGGCCGTTTCGACAAAGAAGGTCAGTAGCGTC